TATATATATATATTAATGGGAAGTTAAAGAGAGAGAGAGAGAGAGATATATCTATATATATATATATCTTTAACTTCCCATTAATACATTCATGAAGAAATATTTATCAGCCGGCATATATTCAAATAGTTAAGGGTTGACATGCAATATTTATATATATATATAACTTCCCATTAATACATTCGTTAAGAAATAATTATCAGCCGGCATATATTCAAATAAATTATGGGTTGTTATACAATCTTTCTTTTACGTTTTTGCTACATTAGTAATTTTGTTGAATTTGAATTTGTGTATGTGTAGGGGTGTGAATAATTTTATTTCAAAACGATTCAAATGAGATTGAAATTTATTTAATCGGATCGAAATCGAATTGTGAATCGATCCTACTAAATTTTGATCTGATCTGATATGGATCAATCCAATTTTTTAGTAGGCTTGAATTATAAACGAGTCGACTCGAATGCTGTTTTTGACTTGTGAGTTGGATCAGTCCGGCTCGAGCTCTGCCTTGGCCCGCTTAGCTAGCCCACTTGTAAAAAAATACATTTTTAATGAAAAGTGTGAATTCAAAACCCTACCACGCCGCTCAAGCACAAAATCCCTTACCAAACAAGCTGGCAATGTGTTATGCGTGTAAAACTAAAAGTTTTGGGGTTAAATTTGTAAATACATAAGAATTTATTTCAAACCCGATCAGAGCAAAGGATGGACCGAAATCGAATTGAAAAAATTTTAATCCATTAATTTGGCTTGTAGTCTACCTCCGTTGACTCAACCCAATTTTGACTTGAGCTATAATTCGGCCTGATTTTCTGGCAATTTACGATATTTGAGCCAATTTAACCGCTCCTATCTATGAGTCATTCCCAAGAAATAGATCATAAGATGAGAGAGAGAGAGAGAGACAGAGATAGAGATAGAGAGAGAGTGTGTTTTTGTGTGTGGACACAATAATGAAGTAATAAAAAGTAAAATGAATTCTTAATTCACCCTTTTTGAAGAAATAATCCCTTTATTTATATAAGAGGGGGTACAACGAGTGTAATTATGTTTGGAGCAAAAATGTGAAAAATGTGCAAATGAGTTTTGGCGCCTAAGCGCCAGATTCGGCGCTTAAGCGTCAGTTAAACAGAGAAGGTCGCGCCTAAGCGTCAAAGATCCCGCGCTTAAGTGCCAGTGGCAGTTACTAGACGTGTAAAGTCGGTTGTTGCAAATTTTGAAGAGGTTTTTGAGGCACTCATTGGCTTAATAGGTGGTTATAACCACCATAGACAAAAATTATCATGAAAGGATGCATCTCTTTGGAAAATTGGGACATATTTTGAAGAGTTTCCAAGACACATCTTGGAAAACTATAAAAGAAAGAAGAGAAGACTTTGAAAAGAGTCCTAAAAATACTTGGAAAGTTTTGAAAGTACATCAATTTGGGGAGTTAGTTGGAGAGATTTTTCAGGCACCACTTTTACTTTTATTTTATCCTTTTTGTTAGTTTATTTTGAGTGATTGTAAAGAGAAGATATTTAAAGGAACTTCAAGAGTTTGGTGGAGAACCTGAGATAAGTTTTTATCTTTTTGCTTTAAGTCTACTTTTGGTTTTAGTTGAAACTTGTTGTTGGTTTGACAAGGATTTCTACTTTTAAACTAAAGTGTGACTTTATTTTCTCCATGGATTCTGAGTAGTTCTTTTTATCTTTCTTCTTAAAATGATAAGTAATTAAGTTCTCGATGGAAATTGTGGAGAGTATTGATCTTTAATGTTGGAAGATGTTGTGATGATTTAAATCCATGCACTTCATTTACTTCTTGATTTGACCAATCCGGATGTTAAAATTTGTTGTGAGAACATGTAAGAACCCGACTGATATTGTCTTAGTGAACAATTGGAAAGAATCAAATGAGGTTGTATGAATGAGAATGTAGTTCATATGATTGAGTGCAAATAAATAGGGAAATATTCATTGAAGGGTGTAGAGTTAGAGGACTTTAAAGTGACAAGTTAAAGCCCCCAACTTGGTTTATTGTTTTAGGTTCTGATACGGGATGTTAGCCCCCAGGTGGAGGGAATCGAGGGAACTTTAGAGTGTGAGCTAGTATCTTCCCTGCCTAGCCGGTCTTCGGAACTATTCAAACTTTAAATTAGCCAATGTTCTTTATAGCAACTCTAGTAAGGGTAAAGAATATTATTTCTCATGTTTGACACAACACAATTTGCATACTTCCACAACATATTTCCTATACTTATTATTGATTCATGATAAGAAGAAATATATTTTTCTTATTAAGTGCTTTTCATCTACAAAACTCTAGTTATCCTTTTAAGTTGTTATTGTTATGTCAAAATATCAAAAATATTTGAATTTTTATTATTGTAAAATATATTCAGCATAAGTAATTGACTTTTTAAAAATAGAAAGTTTTCTAAAAGTGCATATTGTATAAATTCCCTGTGGGTTTGATATTTAGATCTTAATAAAAAAGTCCTATATTACTTGATAACGATACGTATACTTGCGTAGTATCCCAAGATATATAAATTAAAAGTTAAACTCTTATTTTTCTTCAGAATCAAGTTTTTGGTTTTGCTGCAAAGTAAGGAAATATAAGTGAAATATAATCTGAATTATTGTTGTACTTTACATATTAGCAGTATCAAGGGATCAAATAGATTCATTTATTTAGTAGTCAGTACACTAACAATTGTACTATCTGCAATTATGTGCCCTTGATCCTTAAAAATAAGGCATTGTTGATACTTTGGTCATCACATTTTCTTTTTCGTCTGCACATCTCATACGGTTGACATTAAAAACACGTTCAGGATGAACAATAATTAAGAATCTTTCGAGCACCATGCTAAGCAATGATATAATAAGAAATTATTTTGGATTGTCTATGTAGTGAACTTTGACCAAGGTGGAAAAGACTTAGAGTGGGAAGTAACCAAATTAGAAGAGGATACTTGAGGGAGGAAGTCGACTAGAGGGAGGAAAGTAAACAAAGTAGGTAACCTACTAGAAATGGTGGATGCAGGAGTCGAAGGATGAAGTGAGGTCTTCTAGTCACTTACAAGCCTTCTATGGGAAAAAGAGAGGGTGAAGGGAAGTATGTTAAGAAACCTAACCATTGGAATTTTGACCCCTCCTCCTCTAGGTGCACCTATCTAGTTGGTTGATCCTTTTGTGAGGGAAGCAACTGTTGACATCAATTTTTTATGTCACGACGTACCAGATGTTTGTACGATTGACTCGAGAATATTCATTTTTCATTTATGATATCCCATAGTTCTAGAAATCCATATAGACCCTCCTGTATGTGATCAGGGCACAACACCTGCGTTGGAAATGATTTGACCTTGCTCGGGAGAGCCCGACAGCCGTTAAGAATGATTGTTGTTAATTTTCATCAATCATTGGTGCATGTTAGATTTAAGGTCCATCTGAGTATGATATGACCAAATCTAATTCATCCGAGGGTTCTATGGCCAAATAAAAACCCATAAAAAGGCTCCTCATCAGATAGAACAACGGTTAGAACATGCGCACTCGAGCCCATGACTGAGCACACCTACTCCCAAACTGGGCATACCTGCACTGAAGATGGTCATTTAGGCTAAGAAAACTGAGAGCAAGATGCACCTGCACTTAATATTAGGTGCGCCTGATCCAAACTGGATGCACCCACATAAGAACTAGGCACACCCATTTTAACCTTTTGGCGCACTCGCACTATACCTTGAGCAAGGTTAGCACACCCATGCCAGACTCCAGTCCAACTACACAATTTTTTTGAATTTCTGATGTTGAAGTGGCTGGCTTCACATTGGGCATGGATGAAATTATATGGTCCAATGAGAGGCTTTACATGGCTGCCACCTCTCAGAGAGCAAATGGAAGGATTCCACTTGGAATAACCATCATTTTTATGTTTGGGAGGGAAATTTACCTCATTTTTCTTGCCCTCATTAAGGGTAAGTGACCAATTTTAAAATAGGGAGAGAAGAGTTTTTTTTAGCTTAGTGGAAGGCTTTTTGGAGAGCAAAAGAGTTATGGGAGAAGGTTTCTGAAGCGAAGACCTTCCTATCTTCTTTCTTTACCCCTTTACTCCATTATTTGCCTCATTCCCTGCTACATCATTCTATTCTTCGCTTCATCCTTCTACTCATTTCTTCTTGAGAGTGTGATAGAGTGAGGACTATTGGAGGATTCCTTTCATAAGGAAAGCTTCATCCACCCTTGAGAGAAGGGAGAAGAGAACAAACTCTCCTAATAAGGAGAGTGTCATTCCCATAAAGGTAGGAGAAAGGACAAGAAATGAAAACGATTCATCAAATGCTAAGATGGTGAAAATCCTTATAAAAAAATGCTTGCAGATGCTTCAGCAAAAGCCCCTTTAGTCTGGATAATGGAGATTTAAGGACCTGGGCTTTTTGTTACAAGAAAAGCTCCTTAGTTTAGTTAGCTTTTGCTACTCATATATCTCTATAAAGCTTAAGTGCTTCCTCCCAACCTTGGCACATAACCCTAATCGGTCTGGAACCTAGTAACCCCATGTCTATTTCAGCCGCTTCATCTATTAATGAATGGGATGAAGCCAACCTAATCTAGATAACAAGAAGAAAAAACCCTTTGTTTATCATTCCCTAGATCATGAAAGCTATGTCTGTGAGAGGAGCTTTCACTTGGTGAAGGCAACATGTCATGGAAAATTTTTTTACATTTTGCAAGATATTTACAGGTGGGCCTTTCATTATGACAACAAATAGATAGGTAACTACGACCTCAACAACCCTAATATCCTATTGAAATTGCTAGGAAGAGTATGACTCACCATCAACCATATGCATGTCATTTGACTTTTGTTGCATGGT